GAAGGTAGGAACAGTGGAAAATTTTGCGAGTGTATCAATGGGTGTTTTATGATTTAGGATTTTTGTTGGAAGGCGATTTATGAGGTAAATGGTGGTTGCAATTGCTTCGGGCCAGTAATAAATCGGAACATTTGACTCAATCATAAGAGCCCTAGTGATTTCGAGTATGATCCGATTCTTACGTTCAGCAACGCCATTTTGTTGAGGGGTATCAGGACAAGTGGTTTGATGGATAAGACCTTTTTCCTTACAGAAATTTTCCATGGGATGATTTATGTATTCTCCTCCATTATCAGATCGAAGAATACAGATCTGTTTTTGGTATTGTGTGTTGATCAATTTGTAAAATGAGGTGAACTTTTCAAAAACTTCAGATTTGTGTTTAAGAAAGTACACCCAAGTCATACGGGTACAGTCATCAACAAACAATAAAAAATATTGATACCCATTTGGACTCGGTTCTGGAGATGGACCCCACACATCAGAATGAATTAATGAGAAAGGTTGTGATGCAACTGTGTTATTTAACGGATAGGAGTGTTTATGACTTTTGGCTAGAATACAACTGTTGCAATGAAACTGACATGATTTATTGAATAATTTTGGAAAGAAAATTTTGAGATACCCCCAAGATGGATGTCCCAAACGACGATGCCACAACCGTGCCTGCCTGTCCACTGTCCCATGAGCAAGCGTAGCTGTTCCATAATGATCAAATTCCTCGACATAGTACAGGCCATTACGCTCAGAACCACGCCCAATGATCTTCCCCGTCTGAATATCCTGTGATAAGCAAAAAGTGGGGTGCATTAGGACCATGCAATTTAATTGTTTTGTGACATGGCTTATTGACAGCAATTTGTGAGACAATGTGGGAACAAATAGGCAATTCTCCAGCCGGATAGAATTTGAGATAGATATTGGACCAGTGCCCTCGACACGAGAATAATCCCCATTGGCCGTTTGGATATGCATTTTCTTGGACCAATTTAGAGAATTAAAATCGGAACGGTCGAAGGACATCGTGTCAGTAGCCCCACAGTCAAAAATCCACTGGTTATTTTTAATTTGCGGGGATTTGGGCCAGACTCTATTTATTGGGCCTGGTTTGGAAAGAGTATTTAATCCCTCTCCCCAAACCCTACCCGTCACTTCGCCCCTACCCGTAACTTCTTCGCCTCTCCTTCTTACGCCGCTGCTCTCTTCTTCGACGTTACCCATGGCGATTCCGGCGAAGTTTTCAGACGCTTGGACGGCGGTGGTGCTGGTGGTCTCTTGATTGCCCACCACTGCCCTAGCGACCCCAGGCTGCTTCTTCCCCCTCTTTTGGCTGTCAGGCCACCAATCTGGGTACCCGATTCTTTTGAAGCACCCTTCTGCGGTGTGCTTGGTTCTGCCACAATAGGTACATTTCAATTTTGATTTGTCCTCATTTATGCGAGATGACGATACCTCCTTTTCCGATCACAATCCAGCCCGTGTGGCTGCGAACCCACTGCCAAGACCTGAGAGAACATCTCCCGATGAAGGCCCATCGTCTCCCTTCGTTATTCCTTTCCTGGTAGCCTCCCTCCTGATTTGGGCGTATGCCTCTTCTACGGAGGGGAGGGGATCTGTTTTGAGAATATCACGTTTTTCTACATCAAACTCTTCGTTTATGGCTTGTAGAAATTGATACAGACGATTTTGTTGTTGAATTTGTGTGAAAATCGTCATATCCTCTGGGCATTTCATCGGGTTGGGTCGCCTCCTGTCGATTTCCTTCCACACAGCTTGCAATTGGCTATAGACCTTCTCTAGTGTCTAGTCTCCTTGTTTGATGCTGCTAGCTTTCACCATCAAGTTGTATACCTGCAAGGGATCTTTCCCGGAGCCGTAGGTGGCTTCGATTCCCTTCCACAGATCCCAAGCAGTAGGATAATCGATGTATTGATTGACGATATCCGATTCTATGTTTTCTAGAATCCATGTTATAACCGTTGAGTCTGCTTGTCTCCATTTGATAAATTTGGGGTCACCAGATTTGAGAGGTGTGGCAGTGATGTGCTTGAGCCGCCCTCTCCCATCCAACGCCAGACTCATTTTGCGTGCCCAAATGGCGTAGTTCCTATCGTTGAGCTTTTCTGCCATATTTAATGGCTGATTGGAAGAGCTCTCGATAGGTTCGGCCTTGGGTATCAAATTCTGAAAATTTTGAAGAATTTCCAGAATTTGTGCAAGATTGATCGGCTGATTTTTCGGGTCAGATTCCTCTGTGTTTATGGAACTGCCCGTTTGAGGAGTTTTATCGGACATTTTTTTTTATGGTATATGATGAATGCTGCGTTTCATTCAATTGTTTGATCGAATGATGGCTCTGATACCATATTAGAAATATTAGAATGAATTCACAGCATAATATTCATCTTATTAAATTCATCATCAAATGATGAGTATAAATATTACAAAGTGAATAATCTAGACAATCAAGGAAGGTAAGTGGAAGATAATAAAATATCTTTGATTGGTAATTTGATTCCAATCAAGGATATTATCCTAGTCATCAACATTATTCCTTTGTTTGACACTATTCCTTTGTTTGACATTTCTAACACATCAAACAAACTAGTCTAATAAAATACTTCCTCCGTCCCTAAATAGATTACAATCTTTTTTTCTCTCTCCTCTCGATAACTTTTGTTTGTTTACGCGATTTCATCAAGTATTTGATAAAATAAAATATTCTTGTCACATCTTGTTTTGTAGAACTTTTGACGTAGTTTTTTAATATGTAATTTTTATACCTTATTGATATAACAATTTTTAAATAAAATGATTTCAAAAAGTAGGAAATTTTACTCCGTAACCCACAATTTGTAATCAAATTGGGGACGGAGGGAGTAAAAACTAAACATTTAAAATTTAAAAATAAAAACTAAAATTTAAAATCAAAAATCAAAAATTAAAATCCAAAAATTAAAAATCAAAATTTAAAACAAAAATATTTAAAACAAAAAAGTTGCATAATAAAAATTAAAAATTTCTTATTTAAAATTTACAGATTAAATTTTAGAATTTGAAATTAAAAAATTAAGATTCAAGAAATAAAAATTAAAAATCAAATCTTAAATTAGAAAATTATAAATTAAATTTAAGTTTAAAAACATAATAATTAAAAATTAAAAATAAAAATTAATTCTTAATTATTTTTATTTTAAAATTTCAAATTTAAAATTTAAAATTAAATATTATGTATTAAATTTTAATACTTTTTAGTTTAAATTTAAATTTTCAATTTTAGTTTTTATGTTTTAAGTTTTGAGTTTTTAATTTTAAATTTTAAATTTTAAATATTAAATTTTAAATTTGCATATAGAAAAAAATGTATGTGATAATCTTATTGCCACCCTGCTAAATGTTCCTAACAAGACTAAAGATGGTGTTAATGCCAGAAAAGACTTAATAAACATGAGCATTTGAACTGAGCTTGGACCGCAAGAAAAAGCACATCGCACATTTCTCCCTCCTGCTTGCTACACACTTTCTAGAGAAGAAAAAATCACTCTTTGTCAATGTCTATGTGATATAAAGGTTCCACAAGGATATTCCGGAAACATTAAGAGTCGTGTGTCGATGAAGGATTTGAAATTGAACGGTCTTAAATCTCACGATTGACATGTTTTAATTCAGCATTTCTTGCCAGTGGCAATTAGATCAATATTGCCAATGAATGTGAGGGGGGCAATAACTAGACTTTGTTATTTTTTTAACGCCATTTGTAGTAAGGTCATTGATGCTGAAATGTTGGATCAGTTACAAGAGGAAGTGGTAGTCACCTTATGTGAATTTGAGATGTTTCTTTCCTCCATCATTTTTTGATATCATGGTCCATTTAGTTGTGCATTTGGTGAGAGAAGTTAAACTTTGTTGCCCTGTTTTTCTTCGGTACATGTATCCATTAGAAAGATTTATGAGTATTTTCAAAAGATATGTGAGGAACCGGTATAGACCTGACGACAGTATTGTTGAAGGATACTTGGCAGAAGAGATTATTGAATTTTGTAGCATGTATTTGGATTTGGAGTGCACGGTTGGGGTACTGAAGTCTCGGCATGAAGGTAGAACTGAGGGGAAAGGAACAATAGGACATCACATCATTCATCTTGACTCTGAAATGTTCAGTTTAGCACAACTCTATATTTTACAACAAACAGATGATGTTCATCCGTATTTAGAGAAACACATGTCTCTTTTAAGACAACAGAACCCCGGGAAAACTAAGAGGTGGTTGACCAATGAGCACAATAATATATTTCTAAAATGGTTTCAAGAGCATGTTCGCTGGCAAACAATACATTCTTCTCATAATGTCACAGAAAATGTGCGATCATTAGCTACAGGACCTTTGTTAAATGTATCTTCTTACGAGGGGTACTACATCAATGGCTATTATTTTTACACAAAACGTCATGATGAGAAGAGTACACTACAGAATAGCGGTGTGTCATTCAATGCTTCTTCTCTACACATTCCTAGGGGTAAAGATTCGACACCGATCCGGTCACACAAAACATACTATGGCGTGATCGAGGATAAATGGGAACTCGAATATACAACTTTCACCATTCAACATCATTTGAGGTGTGTTTCATATATCATTTTTTTGAAAATATTCGTAGCCCCTGGTGCAGACGGATCGACATGGCGACTTCTCATCAAGCAAATCTCTTCCCATTCTCGGCGTACGTCCCACTGCTCCTAGCTCTCCCATACAAGATGTTGTTGACCGGAGCTCATACGTCGCATTCGGGCCGAGGTGCAGAGAGTTGTGTCAGTGGCTGACGCGCACATCTGCTTTGTCTACCATCAGCGTCATTCTCAATCCCGAGTCCATGCTCTATCCAGAGGAGATGGAGCTGAGGATGCGTCTGGAGAATATACGTGAGTTCATGCGACGGGAGGAGGTCGATCAGACCATCATCATTGTTTTCTTTAGGTATGTCAAGCACTACGTACGTAAAAATTACTATTATAATTATAATTATTTCTTATAATTGTAATTTTTGTTTACATGTGAAATTACTAGATTGTTGCACGATCATATGAAGGAGCAGGGCATTGCGTCTGTCGGGTTGTTATGTCCGGAAAACATGGCATACGTGGTAGATTATGGAGATCGCCAGTATCTAGATAGAGCACTCGAGGCCTATCAATCGCGACCCTGGATACTTATGTCGTTGTATCTATCGACAACGCATGTTTTCTAAATCATTTCCAATATGTATTTTGGTTTTTTTAATTAGTGACTAATGCTTTTTCAATCGTAGGCGACATTGGGTGTTAGTTGTAATATGTTTGTTTGAAAACAAAGTGTATTTCCTAAACTCAATCAAGTCGACCAAAGGGCATAAGAAAATGAAGGTGAAGACTATTGTCAACGAGTGAGTATTAAGAAATGTATTTCTTATTAATGAAATTTTTATTTGTTAAGATATTAATTTCTTATTAATTTGTTTTTCACATATATTAAAGGTCTTGGCGGTTACTTCGGAGTACCCCACATGCCTCAGCTTAAGGCTTGACCGGATTGGGTTGATGTACCGGGAGTACCCCAACAAGAAGGGAACGTTGAGTGTGGTTATTATGCCATGCATTTTTGTTGGCTCATCGCCAATATGTGTGCACAATTTTTTGTACCATTATCCGATGTAAGTTTGTTTTAGTGTTTTTGAAAGTAATGAAGTGTAGGGTAATGATTATTAAACTTTATGTCGTATGTTGTTTTCGTATTATTGTAGGTATTTCAGTCTACTATGCCTTATACTAGAGCCGAGGGGAGGTTAGAGAGTTTTGGGCGGGGGGTTTTCTTGATGAACTTGTGTAAGTTAGTAGAGTACAATGTAGTTGTTTGGATCATAGTTGTGTTGTTAAAACTTAGAAGAGTACGTAGTAGTTTTACGTACTCTTATATTTTTTAACATGTACAAGTGGCGTGGATGTAAATGTTCACTTTTTTGGTTTAATTTGTTTTTTGGCATTTGAGTTTTGTGAATGCATTTGTGTTTGTTACTGTTGCATGTGTTGATGGGTTGAATTCTCTGCAAAGTTGAAATGGAATAGATCGGGAACAAACAAAATAGGCCTTTTGAAAATTTTATATATTTGAATCGATTATTTGGTAATAACCGATTTCTTGGTAATAACCGATTCAAAAGATTAGACATTTGAATTGGTTATTACCAAATAACTGATCCAAAAGCCCATTCCAAGAGAAGGGCATTTGAATCGGTTATTTGGTAATAACCGATTCAAATGTCTTATCTTTTGAATCGGTTATTACCAAATAACCGATTCAAATGCTTCTACCCAAAAATGGCACCATTTCTGGGAAGGAGCTTTTGCATCAGTTTTTTGGTAATAACCGATTCAAAAAGCCTCTTCCCAGAATTGGCGTCATTTTTTGGGAGGGCTTTTGCATCAGTTTTAATAACCGATGCAAAAAGTAACCTAATATTTGCATCGCTGGCTTTTGCATCAGTTCAAAACCGATTTAAAAGGGTCAAAATAACCGATTTAAAAAGTCTTTTTTGTAGTAGTGAAAAACAACAACAACAACAACAACAACAATAATAATTTATAACAACAAGAATTAGAATGAGAATAATATAAAAACACACAAAAAATTGTTTAAAGTTTTTTTAGATTTTCTATTTTTTGTAGCTTTTTTTAGATTCTTTAATTTTTTTCAGTTTCTTTTATTGATTCTTTCCAATTTCTTCCAGTTTATTCGAGTTTCTTCCAGATTCTTTAAGTTCTTCCAGTTCCTTCCAATTTCTTTTAGTTTCTTCCATTTTCCCCAACATCCAGCTCTTTTTTTTTAAGTCCTAAAGAATATACTCTTATTAGGTAATGAGAGGTTTGATAAACAATAAAATTACTTAAATACCTTTGTACCTGGTTTTCTTTATTCGTTTCTTAAAGTGACTTCCGTGGAATCATAATTGACCTTATACATAAAATTATATAATATTCTAATTACGTAAAATAATATTTTTATAATTATTTATAAGGTAATGTAACAAAATGTTTTTGCATCAATTTCAAACATTCTACTTCAAGAAATAGTAAAAAAATATAGAAAAAAAGTAAACAAACTTAAAAAAAATCACAAAAAAAAACAAACAGAAAAAAATTAGAAAAAATAAACGCATAATAAACAAAAAATAGAAAAAAATGAAAAAAAGCAAAAAAACACCAAAATGAAATAAAAACATAAAAAAAGGCAAAAAGAAAAGTGAAGGGGGGGGAATCGAAACAAATAAGAAAAAAACACGTAGTTTCAATAATTAGCAAAAAAAGATACGGAAGAAGTGGTGCTGGGA